TAAAAGTTCTGGGAGATGCGTCTTTGTACACCCCGGCTAGACCCTTAATAAGGTAACATCTCCTTTTTCAGAGGAAGCTATACCTTCTGTCGGGCATGACAGCGTAGGAGAGAACAGCCCCCCTCCCCCTTACCTTCCTCTCTCTCCCCTATTCCTGTGTCACAGTACACGTTAATTAGACGGCGTTGTTTTTGTTGTTGACGCCGACAACTTTTCCAGCGCGGTGCTCCTGAGAAATCCAAGTCGCGCGGGCGGGAGAGGGCTTCCAGCAGGAGAGCTTCGTATGCGGTCGGTCTGGTCGCCTCTCCTCGCCGCCCCCTTCTCCTCTGGTATGGGGCGCTGTCAGACCCTTGACCCCTGCGGGCCCCGCCCCACCCCGCCCCGCCACTGGTGTGTTGAGGGCTGCCCCGCCAGCTGCCGATGCGGCCGTGTTGTGCCAAGCAGGCGAGGCCGATAAAACGATCCCGCGACCGCGTTTTCCTTTCAGCGCGAGGAGACCCGCGAGAGAGAGACGATTCGCGGGAAGGGGGGCGGAAGGGGACAGGGGCGGACTGGGATGCGGACGCGGACCGGCGGCCCCGACCGGCACTTCAAAGCCATTCACTCGGCGCATTTTAATTGCATTTGTTCCGAAGGACCGACCTTATCAGCCCGGGGACAACAGGCCCGCCGTACCCTTGCGCAGGACACACAGCGACAAACCAAAGAGATAGATACAGTGTGACCCAAGGAAGCGACGTGATTTCGTGCATGTTGCTCTCCGCACAAGTTCTACCATTTTTTGTGGGTGCAGCATGTGTTCAAGCTGGTACCGAACTTGTCCTTAAAATGTTACAAATTTGTCGCAGACTAACAATGAGTGCGCCATTATTCCTCCTCTTTGTGACAGCAAACTTGTCTCATTTAGTTTGGAGGCACACAGCGGCAGCAGGGCACACCAGCGGGACAACAGGGTCTTTGTAAAGCGTATAGAGAAGGCAGGTTCTCCTCTTGTACGCGTCCGGACATCAGCGCCGCTCAGAAGGCGCGCGCGTGTGTGTGTGTGTGTCCCCGGGACATAATCCACCACCTTGCTCAACTCCACCCCCTCC